TCTAATATTATGAACGATCTTTTGACTTTGTTCATTCAAAGTTTGATTTCGAGAGGGAATTAATAAAGCATAAAATACCCCACAATAACCCTATCTTAAAACTATTTGAAAATAACTTCCACATCATAATTTGTAGGTTAGAAAAATATTAACGATTAAAATAATTTGGCAAAACTATCAGCGATTCTAAATTTGCTGTTTACAGAAAACTAGGAAATGTGGAAAGTCAACTAAAAATTGAGCATATGCAAAAAAAGGTTTGGTTCATTTAGTGAGTAATGTTAGTTACGATATCCGTTCGTTATGTGAACAGGAGTTTATTCGAATTAAGTACATGGAGGAAATCATGTAAAAAATTGTCGTGTCACTATCAAATGAATCCGTATTGTACGATTTTTGGATGAAAAGTAGTACGACGGAAATAATGAAAAACAGCTTAGTTAGATATACTTGAAATTCGTTCCGAATTTGCATCATTGTTCTATGACAAGACAAGTTTCTAACATTTTTTGAAGAAACCCGTGTATATTGGAGGATTTTAGTAACTAGGTATAATTTTTAACTGATTTCCAAGTTCAGAGCATGTTTTGTGATGTAATTTTGCAGAACATTAAGCGAAGAGATCTCAGAGTATCTTCAAGTTTTACGATGAAAACTAACTGCTAGATTGAGAAAGATAAGAAATATATACAGTGACAGTATTTCTGGGTACTAGCTTAAGATAATGTGAGTTTTTTCTAAGAAGATGATTTGGAAAAATATTGTGCATACACGTTGTCGTATAGCAAGACATAGGAGAACATATAGTACTATTTTTTTTCACCCTACCTACCCTCTGGAAGATATTTTGATGAATCACTCTAACAGATTCTTTAAATCATATAAATATATATATAAATGCATATATGGCAGCGCTTGTTTTAATCATTATTCAAATAAAAGTATGTTAAACGACTATAATTATACACTCGAAAGAACGAACGCATAGAAAAGACTATGAATTTCGACAAGGATTCGAACCCAGGTAGTAATTACAACTGGTAACTAGCCAGATGCTTTCACCAACTAAGTTATCGAGACACAGTGTTAACTTAAATTCAAATTCAGCATGAACATTTATTTAATCTTTTTGAGTGATGTTATGAATAGAAACTTCGTTGTACAATGATCAACTCTAATCGACCTTGATAATTGATAATTCGAAAATACGCCAGCCTATTGTCGATGAATTTAATCATATATAGTTACACAGAAATGTATATAACAGGACTTTTTTAGTCAGATTCAAATGAAAAATAGTAGAACGATTCTTATTCATCATTCGAAAAGATTAAATAAATGTTCGCATCGAATTTGAATTTGAGTTAAGATTGTGTCTTGATAGTTTTGTTGGTTAAAGCTTCTGACTAGTTACCAGTTGTAGATACTACTTGGGTTCGAATTCCAGTCGAGACTCATCCTCTTTTCTGTGTCCATTCTTTCGAGTGTATAATTATAACCGTTTAGCATCTTTTATTCATATAATAGACACTTTAAAGTCTCAACAACTTTTTTTCGATTGATTCATATCCATCAGAGTAAGAGAATCAGCTCAGATCAACCCTGAACCCTCTATTCTTCGGAAAATGTTACTTAAAAGACTCGATTGCAGTCTCCGACGTCCATCGAAAGATACATTTTGAAGGGTTTTTCAGTGATTGGAATCAACTTGCAATAGCAATTGTCCTTCTCGTTACACTTGTCTATTTTCAAGTTCTCCATACTAATCAAATGTATGTGAAGAGAAGAAGGAACACGAGATTCGGAGGCATAAGCATACAATTGCTAAACTACCCTTGAATCACTGACATAAGCATGAGTTGCTTTTATAAGGTTCAAACTATTTTATTATCATGAGATAAATAATATCGAGACTCTATTTACTAATATCTATTGCTCAAAATGCTATTTTAATTGTGTTATATGTGAGATACTTTACCTCTTTCAAATTCAAAAGCCAATAATTAACCTTGTTAACAAATTCTTTTGACAAGACTCAAACGCCTCTATGCAAACAAACTGCAGTAATATAAGACCTTGAATAAAAAAGAGCGCAAAAAAAATATTAGTAAGACCGTAAAAGATCGAACTAGATAATGTAAACTGTCTATTTGAATTATTATCTTACAATATTTTACAAGCAATAATTACATATAGTAGTAAACATTTTATCCGAAAAAAGCAATTAGAACACGAACGATTTCATCTCCTAACTCATATTTTGATAACTGGATCGTAACTGCATCGAAATATTGACAGAAGGTAATTAATGAAGAAAAATTGCTTTTAATATCGTGCAATTATGCATGACTGCAATCGTTGCAGCATAATTGCTTACAGTTACGGTGAAAATGTCATAATGAATCGTAACTGCTACACAAATCAATTTTAGTGGGGCATACCATGAAAAAAAAAGATGAGTAAAAACGGACAAGAGCGTGTCGTGATAACTAAAAAAATGTGTTTTTTATTCTAAAAAAGCGCATTTTTATATTCAAAGAATTTTGTTAAAGAAGAATGATTCTTTGGTGATAAGACGCGTTTGAAAAAAAACGCTAAAATCGTCTTAACAATACGTTTCAAAGGTACACTCTTTTCCCAATAAGAACAAGTTATTATTTTGGAGAAAAAGTGTTGATCTTCAAGTGCATCATGTCTTATCGTGCTCTTTCTTTGATTCGTGTTCATTCGGATCACTCGTTCCTCTCCCAGTGGAGTTTCATTCTCACTTAATGGATTCTTATGTCGCTAAGTCGTAGTCTAAGGCTCTAGGAACACGTTATAACTATTGTCGACGCCAGAATTCAGCGTGGGCTGGTGTAAAGCGAATATCTCGAGAACGGCAATAGCTAGCGGTTTTCATCAATCAAAAGTGGCTGAGTTAGGACATGTTTCCATATAAGATTATGCCAGGTGAAATCATTAACTAAGAAGTCATTTTTCGGAATCTTTCCGAAAAATATATAATAATACAATGTAGCTCCAATAAAATTTTCATTCTGACGTCTATAGTAGATAGAAGCACTTCAGCTCTTTAGTTCAAGATAAAATCCGACTGGTTATCTTCTCATAGTCTCACGTTCAGGCAATGAACTCAGTCGTGTGTTTGCGAAAACAATAGTGAATTGCATTCATTTTTAGCCAATATTTTTCACTTTTTATCAAATTTTCATCGGAACAACAAGCCATTTTGATTAAATGTAAAAAATTTTGGTTAGAAAAGAATGCAATTCCCTATTATTTTCGCAAGCAAACGGCTGAGTTCATTTCCTGAACGTGAGACTATGAGAAGATAACCAGTCGGATTTTACTTTGAACTATAGAGCTGAAGTGCCTCTATCTACTATAGACGTGAGAATGAAAATTTTATTGGAGCTACATTGTTTTATTATATATTTTTCGGGATGATTCCGGAAAATGACTTCTTAGTTAATGATTTCACCTGGCATAATCTTATATGAAGACATGCCCTAACTCGGCCTATTTTAATTGGTGACTCATCATAATATGCATAAATATGATACTCATCAACATCTTGGTCTTTATCCATCTACTTCACCAATGTGCATTCAACATTCTCATGAAACTTATACTTCACACCTGATTCAAAGTACGTCATTTCATCATTCTGATACACTAACTGCTGCTGATTAAATACGTTATTTACAAGAAGCTTTACATAAATCAAATACAATGCTTGAACATTTCGATGCTGAAATTAACAATCTTAGAAGAATGATGGATGAACTTCGCCATTTGCAATCAATATCGGGTAAAAGCTCTCCCAATGCATCAACACGGTCAGCACATACTGCACCATTACTATCTCAAAACTCGTATACGTCTGCATTTATTCCTATTAGTGCTTCTTCTAAACCTCAATCAGCTACTTTACCTACAAATACATATATATGACCACCAATTTTGCCATTTACTATGTCGTTAACCAACACTTTACGTTGGTTTAATGGTAAAGAAGTTGAAATGCCAACAAAATTTATTTTTGAATTTGAAATTCGAACATCAAGTCTTGTTGGTCATAATAATGATTATTTACTTCGTGCTCTTCAACATTCCTTAACTGATATTCCTCTTACATGGCATATTCAAACACAGCAAGAATAAACTCTTAATAATTGAGCACAATTCAAATAATTATTTCTTCGTCGATTTCGAACTCCAGAAAAGATTAAACTAGTTCGTGGTTCATTACGCACATTATGGTAAGGTGATAATGAGCCAACTTCTGCTTATTTTGAACGGCTCAAAACATTCATGTCGGAAATTGAAACTTAAACTTCTATTGATTAATATTAAATGAAATTTTTGTCAAAAATTATGCAAAGATATACGCGGTAAAATGACACTTGGCCTTACATCTTCTTTATCTGATCTTGTTCAAAAGGCCATTTAAATTGAATCAAACATTGCTCAAGAAAAAATCTATGCCAAACTTCACGATGCACACAAAGAAGGCAACAACAACAAACAAAAATCTGCCATTGTTAATAATTTATTTCATGTTTGTAAACCTAATCCATTGTCTATAAGAGAGTTTTCGTCAGACCATCAAACATTGCGGCTGGAGCTACATTTTCCTGTCGATTTTAGCTATCTAGTGGGAAAGAACATTAGGTTTTGTGGATAAATGTAAATTTGATCTATCTAAAGTATTTCGAAAAAAATGTTAGCCTGGACTGACTTTTTTCACACTCTGACTTATGATATAATTTTTTCAAAAATTCAATATGATTCGTATTTTGATATTTTCTCGAAAATAGTTAAAGGAATCGTATTCATTCAAGTTTCATGCGATGACCGTTGATATGTTCGGCAAAATACAACGGATTATGAATAATATTTGTTTGTTGCGGTTTGGGGGTTATATGGACGCGAAGGTAAAAATTGATGAAAAGAATAGGTGTAAAAGTATGGTTTTTGTTTTGATTTGAAGTCTCTTGCTATTCTAGTTCTCCAATCTCCAAAAATTCTTTTATCTCATCTTGTAGAGTTTTTCAAGCTACATCCAACCATATAAAATTCAAGGTTTAAAAAAACTACCAATATCTTGACAAATTTCTAACACTAGTAGTTTTCTAATGGTCCTAATGCATAAACACTATAATCACATTCGCAGAGAATATATAATGAATCTTTATGTAAGTAATATTTTTATGATCTAACTCTGAGAATTTAGTGACATATAAGTTATTAGATTATTATCATACCATTTAGTTAAATATTTATGACCTATCCATAGGCGGCGGAACGATTTCAGTCTAAGGTAGGCTCAACTTTTCAGCCAAATCGAGTCTCCCCATTGAAAAAACGAGGATTGATAATAGATTGAAACCGACTAGAAACACTTTGAATATCAACTATAATCATAAGATTTTAATCATTTTTTAACCGATTTTAATAGAATTTTTCATTGATTCATACAATTGCTCAGATCATATTCGATAAAAACTTCATATAAAATTTGAATTTAATTGGCGGAAACCGATTTTTTTCATTTATCACCAAGAACAATCAACTAAAATCGAATGTTTTATGCAGCTTTTATTGTCTATCAGCAAAATTACTTGTGATACTCAACTAAATTTTAGTTTTTGTGTACTGAAAAAGTGAGTACACTCTAGAATCGGTCGGTGTGTCCGGCCGTCCGTTTACACGATAACTTTTGAAAGAAGAGTCCGATTGCGATGAAATTTTCTACACAGTTCAGTCTTAACAATATCTCTGTCGAGTTCGAAGATGAGCATGATTGGCCAAGCCGTTCCTGAGTTATTGCAAAAATAGTCACTCTTTCCTATGGCTTCCTATAGGAAAATCGATCTATTCTAACTTTCGTAAAAAACTTTTACTATCATAATCAAATAAAACTCCAACTATTATATACCATTCGATAGAGAATTTCACGAGCTACAAAATGGTATATGAAAAATAAAGAAACACGAAGGCTAACTCACATATTGCCAAGATAATCAGACGGAAATAGGTTCTGTTTTCGTCCACGCTCTAATTGATCCACAATTAGAGCTCAATCTTCTGATCACAGAGATGATACTTTGCGGTTTTCTGGACTGCAGAACTCGAATCTGTACTCCACTTACCTCGAAATCCTATTGGTCGAGGGGTAACCAATAGAAATCAAGTGATAGAAAAAAACGACTTTCTTAGCGTAGATCAAGACGACGAGTTCGAATCTCAGATGTATTCGCCTCCAAGTCATATTGGGTGAGCAATAGCCAACAAAGTCAAGTGTTTATAGGAAAGATTTGCCAGGATAATTTTGATGTCCACACATTCTAGGATGACTCATCTGTCTAATTCACTTTTTGAAGTACACATAACTCTCGCATTTAAATCCGAGGTTTCCACATTTATTCAGTTGTCTAAGATTAAAGTTGGTACAAAAATAGTTAGTTTCGTTTGACTGCAACCGACTTTTAATCGATTTTAATTTGATTTCAATTAGAATTTTTTTGCATGGTAGAAGCCAGTTAAGAAGTGATTTCCTTCATTGATATATTGTTGGAAGCGTTTTAGGTTTTACTGCTAGATCTTAAGCCTGTATAAATAACTATCTGATGTGTTATTGTTTTCACACGCAAAGTAAATAACAATGAGAAAGACTATTTACGAAGAATAAAAAATAAAACTATTTAGCTCCGAAAAATATTTTTCTTTATTTGATTATTTAAAAGATAATCAGAATAGATGATGTTGAAGTTTTTGTTGGTTCTGACGATGTTCTATTTTACCTTGAGTATGATTAAATTACTGATTGAAATATAAACACAAAACGGATTTTCTTTAGCACTGCCCTTGGATTTTTATTTTTTATTTTGAAAGGAAGACATTACCTGACACTCTGGTTCGCATTTGTGTGCGGCAGAAGTAATCTTATACAAGTATCTATAAGGTTTAAAAGTAATTTTAAATATAAATCTAAGAAGCCTATTTCAGCGATCTTATATTAAGAACTAAGAATTAGATGTCGATATAGATGCTGGCAAAGTCCAATCAATGCTTAATTGTAAACCAGTTCGTAGCAAAAAAATATGAACTGATCTTATAAAACTGCGTTATTCGTCAGAAACATAAAAACTAACAATAATAAAAAAGAAACTTTTACATTTAATCGAGTTTACTCAAGCCTTTATCTGCTCTAGCTTGAAATTACCACAGCCTACTCACATCCAGCTTATGGTAGGCTGAGCCTACCCACTTTCAATCTCGGGTAGGCTAGAGCCTTTCGAGCCTAATGGCTCCGCCGCCTATGGACCTATCTATAACCTAATCATATATAAGTCATTGATCAAAACTACAGATTTAATTATTATTGAAAAAGTAATGCTTTCCTATAACTTAAAAATTATATAAACTTGTAGAAGTCCTCAATTTTAAAGAACAAAACTGATTACTGTTTAAGTATTATTCAGACTCAAATACTGGCAGACATCTCTTTATCAAAAATTTTATCAAAAAAAATTTCAACTAAAATTTCAAAACTTCAACAATTTATCTTTTTATTTTTCTCCCTAAGCCATCTCAAAAATTCATCATGGATTTATTTTTCGCCATTATTTTAATGCTTTTGTTATTTCATAAAAGCTTTTACAATTGACAGAATGAGCGGCACATCTTATACGGATTAGTCAGAAGTGAAGCATTATGTGATTTGATGAAGTTCAAATAGAGATTAGATGATTGTTTTCTGATTCAACAGAAAATCAAGTTATAATTGTATTTGATTGAACCTATACTATTTTCGATTACTATCGAGATGATTGTATTCGATGGATTGTTAGTTTACGTTATATACTATGATATATATATATTGTAGTTGACTTTTAACTTTAGTTGCTTTATCAAGGCGCTTAGTTAATTTAAAAATTTTTCGAAAATATTCTAAAGGTAACTAAATTCTAAAGCCAACAACAACATATATATATATGGATTAATTGATTGATTGATTGAAACAGAAAATAAACATGGATTTGAATTCTGTCATAGTGAACAAGTTTTAATGAATACATGTTTTCTTTCGTTTTAGACTGGTCAGATTGTTCATAGACCACTGTAGTTCTTTGGTTTTCATCGACAATAAGAACATTTCGAGTGACCAATGGATCTTTGTCGGTTTCGTGTACTATTCGTTCATGTTCTTGCAAAAGCTACTGTTTCACTTCATGTGCCATTTCTTCAAACAACTCTTCTTCATGTGTTTCTTGTTCATCATTATCCTTTCATACCATTAGCAATATCATTTTTCCTTGTTTGGTGTTGACTGGATCGTCGACGATTTTAGGTCAATCGAGACTAGACACTTCTTATTTCAGATGGTTTTAGCTATGGATATGATTCAAAATCATACTCATTACTGTTCTTGAGTACTTCCATCTTATGAGCAACATTGACCGTGTTGAACTTCATACTTTGTTGTTCTTCTTGATAATATTTATCTTCAAGAAATTGTCTTTGTTCGTTAGTCAATCGGGAGTTAGTTTTATGTCGAATTAAAACCCAACCAAAAGATAACTTTGTTTTTTGCAGAACAACATTCTTAAAAAAGAAGCATGACGCCAAAACTTGATAAATATCTCAAGACTACTGTACCTGTTGAGTTACCATAAGATCCTTCAATGAAGAAAATGGCTGCGTTGAATAACGTTCCAATAAATATTGATACAACGATTTTGCTGTATCTAATAAAGATGTTTGTTCATAATGTGTTATAGTTTTACCAGTTGAAAGATGATTTAGTAGTTGTCCATGTTTGATAAATTGCTTGGCGTAGCTAACTCCAGGACAATGAAAGATCTTAAATTTTGATAGATCGGTTACATCAAGATTTTCTCCACTTGTGCTTTCTTCATCAGAATGTGACATTATGTTTTAGATCAACTGATTCTGAAATATTTCGAAAGATAAATCAGCATAAGAATAACACAAATCTCACGAAATCTTGGTGCATGAATCCGACACTAAATTTGATTGGACTTAGTAAGATCCAATTAACTGAAGAAATCTGAGAGGTATCCGGGTGATGAAATCACTCACAAGGCCAAAAGGCAGATTCTGGCACGTATTCAACCAAATCCAACGATTCATTTTGAAATGAGAATCATCCCTCAAGATTTTCACACAGCTCTAGACGTTTATCGAAATGACGTCGAACTACTCCATTTATAATTGTTTTCGCGAAGTTTTCGAATTCTTTGCTCTGTTTTTTGGGACGTCTGGGTACTTTGTGTGAGTAGATTAGATAGATTTCATCGGCCAAATCTATAAATAAAGAGGTGTCAATCCAGTCACTCGATCACTTGTAAATCAATAAGGAGTAACTAGTTACATAGCTAGGAGCGTTTACAGATATGTACTAATGAAATCGACGGTGGATATCTAAGAAAAGCTTTTGACAGGCTTGGCTCGTTAGAAAATTCGATCTTGGTAATATTTAGTGATTTTCAGATGTTATTTTTTAAGCGATGGTCAGCGTTTATATGTCACTATCGTATTTTAATGATACTCTACTACAGGATTCAATCGGATCACAATACTTAGACCTGTTCAGATTGTGAATAAACTTCAGTAAAATTTGCACCAGAGTATCCGGTCTGAGTTCAACATTAGGGCGAATATTGCTTCATAACCTGGTTTTCCAGAATGTTCTCACAGGATTCTGATGGAATCTGATAAGGTTCAGTCGAAATTTTCTGGCATCGATTCTCTGGGGAATATACGCTCACTATCTTTATCAGGTTCTAGTGGTCACTGGTTATTTATGAGTGAAAATTCTTCAACAACAGTAAGTAGCGAAATCGCAATGATATTTTGAAGATTATTCCCAAAAACGTTTTACTAACACCTATATTTCAAGCACACCAATGTTTTACGTACATGTGTTGAACTTCAATTTTTGGCCTGTCGACTGAAATTGTGCAGGTTTTGTTTTCGTTGTTTTGAAATATTCGATGTTATTAAATACTTTTACTGCTCTCCATTCTGTTTTCTTTTTCAGCTCAGTTTGATCACGAGCGATTGAACTAGAATAACTTGACACATATTTTGTTTTTCGCGCAGTTTGAAAAAATTCCTTGCTGTTGATAACATTGTGCTTTTCGTCAATATATTGACGAATGTTACATTTTCTTACAGATACTATGCGATCGCTATTTCTGTTGCCAGATTGTAGACCTAAGAACTTAACTGAACGCATGAAAAATTCAAAAGCACACAAAGACCTACTGGTAGTACTTGTCTTAATGAAAATCCCTGTTTCTTCATACTGTTTCTTAATAGAAAATGAAAATTCACACTCATGGAAACATCCAACGTTATCAGTTACCTGAGAATCGTAGTTAGAATTATGAAAAAAAAATCTTTATATAATCATACCACGTATCAAAGTGTACCGGATTTCAGAATTCGTCAATTTTATGCGTACAAAAATGTTTTTGATTATATTGGTTACTGTCTCCCCATTTTGTATCTATTGACGAAACACATGAATGAACATTCTATGCGCAAACTTTCTTTTTGTTGTTCATGATGTAAATGACGTTGGCGATTGTAATTTAATAACATAACAGATATGCCAAGAAAGATTCCATTTCGTTGTTTTTAAAAAGAAACCCAATAAAAACTGGATAGTATCACTTAAAATTTACTACAAACCAAACCATTGTCATTGTGACTCACGATATTCTTTAGCTAAAGACTTTATAACCCAATCTATGTGTATTAAAATACTTTTCGAGTCCCAATTATTTGGTATTTCTGAACAAACATCATTTTGGTGTATCATACGTAAAATATAAGATTTTGCAATCATATATTAATTCAATATTATGCTCTATTCAATACGCCAATCTTTTTAGTTTACCAGGTAAACAATTATTTGTGCAATTCTTAGCTGATGAGACTAGAGTTGGAGAGAACTATCGAGCAAATAGCAATCTTCACATTAATCGTCATGATGATGGTTGCATGATCGTTGTAGATCTTTTTCATTTGAATCATTCAACGAAAATATTGAACAATGATCTGAAATTGTTGTTTCACCATGAACATGCAGCTTATAATCGCCTTTCAGATAATTTCGAGATAGCTGTAAATCATTCTTTAATTTTCGAACAATATTATCAGATATTCCTAAATATAATACTATAGAAATTAAATGATTTTAAACAAATTGTATTTTACCAATGATTAATAGTTCATCGGTAATCTTTAAAAATTATCAAAAGCTGTTGATCCATCGACTGAAAAGCGATCAAGACCTTTCAAATATTTTTTTTTGTCGATGCTGAGCATCTATATAATATTTTGTACAAAAGACTTTTGGATAATAGTTTGAAATTGTTTGGACAAGTTTCATTGCAAAACTGATAATATTTCTGTACAATTCGTGACGCTATAACATTTCGAATATAGTTTGGTATTGCAATGGTTTCATCACTAGTCATTACGATTTTTTGTTTCCAAATGGAAAATCAGTTATTATATGAGGTGATAATATATATTCAATAAAACGATTCATTTGATTTTTTGTAAATCGAAGTGTTGCTGATCTCTCAGATTCAACCATTGTTGGACGACCTTTCAAAATGAAACAAAGATGCATCTACCCTCAGAAAAACATTTTAATCCTACTGTTAACTGTAGCTTGTCGAGTTTCATTAAACTTCCCTATGATTAAATGAAGTATATACTGCTAAATCGAATGGAATTTAATATCAGTAGTCATAAGTGAAAGAACCTGCCACTTGACGGACCAGTGCTATGCATTCGAGTATATCTCAGTCAGAGCCTCTATAATTGCTTGATAATCATACGCGTTCTTCTTGTTTTCATTTTCACTGTCAATTAAATTGTTTCATACGACTTCTACATTATTAGATGCAAGAATTCCAATGACATATAAAAGAATTTTGTGGAACTCACATATATTTTCGAAATAGTGAGTGTAAGTTTTAAGGTCAAGTTTTCACAGTTCCCCCTCTCCCTCTCTCCATTATAGACAATTAGCAATGGGACCCCCCCCCCCCCATTACAGGCAGCCTTCGATTACAGACCTCAGCAATCAATAATAATAGGCGTCAGATTTTCAAGAGTCTTTTTTGAAATTGATGAAGTTATAATTTTGAAAAATAATGAACATCATTATTTGTAAGTTGATTAATATATATGATAGTGCGTAAGATCTGTTGTAGACATTCTGAATATGTAAAACAGACTTATTTGTCAATTATTTCAATGATCATAATAATAAGAATGTTAAATTAAGAAAAAAGAATTTAAAAAAAATGAAAAATGAGCAGATAGCAACAATGAAAACAAAAAATAGGTCGCCTGTAAAAAGAAATTAAAAAATCCTCTTCGAAATGTTGAAATTAGAGAGATTCTCTTATTTCAGCGATTGATTATCTTGCAAAACAATTATAATCTACGAAACATTTTTCATTTCACATTTTTGTATTAGTTTAATGAGCGTAGAGAGTATATATGAGTTCCACATTTCAGTCTCAAAGGGGCTGCGCTAACAAGTTTTTTTTTAATTTTATTAAGAAAACTAAATTATAGTTAGACAAAAACCGACATGAAATCAGTTTTACAAAAAAAGCGTATTTTGTTTTAATATGATTTTACAAACTAAGAGATGATTCGATTTTTTCTACACTACCGTTATAACCATGACTTTTTAACCAACAAGAGCAGCTTTCTTCTTCCTTTTATGCATCTCGCTATTATTATACTTGTTTTTTAATTTCAAACGACATGTTGCACAAGTAGTAATATCATAGGTTGAAACATGATAATCTAATCATAAGTTCAAAGCGATGAGTTTTCAAAACACTTCTGTGACTATGTGTAAATAATTTTTTAGCTTCCTCAAAAATTATATTACAGATATTGCAGTTGTTGCGTCGTGGTATTGATGATAATGATTGATAATAGTTTGAACAAACGTTGAATTCAAATAGATTTATTGGTGATCAATCGTAAAATCCAGCACGTAACAATAGGTATTCTAATTCGTATTTATCATCTGGATTATCATTACAAAGAGTTTTGTAAGAATCATGTCAACTGATATAAAATTTGTTACAATCAATCTGCTGAGAATTAAATGATCCTCTTATTATAAAAACCACATTGATACTACCACATTTACCTTAGTAACTTGAATTTTCAAAAAACAATTCTTTTTATTATTGTCCCCATGGAAAACGAGATGAAAAAAGAACGGGCAAGAACGCGTTGTTGAAATAAAACAACGCGTTCTGATATGCTAAAAACGTTGTGTTAGAAGAACAGTTCTTGAGTAGTAAATCGCGTTTTAGAAGAACGCTAAAAGTATCTTCACAACGTGTTCTACAGGAACATGCTATTCTTTTGAAGAAAAAAATCAGTCTATTTTTAAGTCTATCATGGTTCTGAACGCGTCTTCTTCTCTATTCTTATACATTCTCAGACAACTAATTCCGCCAACAGTATACTTTCGTTCTCACTGAACGCGTTCCAACTTGCTTTTTTATTAGCGTGGTGTAGATCCGACCAGATGAGCGTGCCGTTGCGAAGCAATGAAGATACCATTGTACTATACTTATGCATTTCTGTACTGTTGAATTTTCTACTTGTATTAAACCAAAGTTGGCTGTATTCTGACTACATGAAATTTGTACCAAGAGTGGTCAATTTACATTTACAAAACTTTAATAAATCAAAAAATAAATTTTAAGAAATTTAATTTTTCAGGATTTTAATTTATTTTGAATTTAAATATTGTACATGGGCCGTTCAAAAAGTATCTGGGCTGGTTTTATTATTAAACAATAAGAAAGCTTATAGTTCTTAGCTTTTAGTCTATGCGTAGTTGGAACAGT